AGACTGTGAACGAATGGTTTAGTCTTATAAGGAACCGATAGGTGATCATTCCGTTCAAAACTATTCGAACCACACTATGTCAATATAAGACATGGAGTATGTATTGCATAAATAAATAAACTGCAAACATATGTACTTTGACCGAAACATGGTTGCCAGATCAAAATGGAATTGATAGAAACTACAAAAACACAGCTTTTACAGCATACCTCTAACAACTGGAACAATTCGCTAAAAACGATGTCTGAGAGTTTGTACCTGAATCTTCCTCGAGAAATGTTATCGGAACCAAGTGGATCTTCAAAAACAAAATTGACGAGTTCGGGAATGTGACCGAGAACAAGGCGAGACTAGTTGCTCAAGGCTACACTCAGACTTAAGGAATAGATTTTGATGAAACCTTCGCCCCTGTTGCTAGACTTGAATCGGTACGCATATTTCTACCTATTGCATGTCTAATGAAGTTCATTGTCTACCAGATGGACGTGAAGTCTGCCTTCCTGAATGGGATACTACATGAAGAGGCTTACGTGAAGCAGACTGAAGGGTTCAAAGATCCCAAGAATCCGAATCATGTCTACAGGCTTAAGAAAGCATTGTACGGATTAAGCAAGCTCCTCGTGCGTGGTATGAACGCCTTACCATGTACCTTCTGGAAAATGGATTCAAGAGAGGAGGAGTAGATAAGACATTCTTTGCTCTTCGAACGAATGTGGATCTATTGGGTCAACATCCAAGAAGCTGGTCAAATCTATGTGGACGACATCATCTTTGGATCAACATCCAAGAAGCTGGTCAATCACTTTTTGAAACTTATGTCGTCTGGATTCGAGATGAGTCTCGTCGGTGAACTTTTTTACTTTCTTGGACTTAAGGTAAAGCAAGGTAAAGATGGTATCTTCTTGCATCAGGGTAAGTATACAAAAAACCTTGTTACAAAGTTTGGTCTTGAAAATTCTAAATGTGCTCAAACTCCAATGGGCACTCATGTAAAAGTGTCCAAAGATGATGAAGGATCATCTGTTGATC